AAAAAGTCTTAAACAAAAAATGTATGGCGCACTTTTTGATTGGTCCAGTGGATGCTGAGCTAAACTAGAAAACAAATTCGGAAAAATTTCGAAAAATTAAATTCGCGAGATAAGCGTTCGGGAATACCGCCAAATTCTTTAGCAAAAAGTAGCGAACAAAAAATGTATGGCGCACTTTTTGATTGGTCCAGTGGATGCTGAGCTAAACTAGAAAACAAATTCGGAAAAATTTTTGAAAAATTAAATTCGCGAGATAATCGTTCGGGAATACCGCCAAATTCTTTAGCAAAAAGTAGCGAACAAAAAATGTATGTCGCACTTTTTGATTGGTCCAGTGGATGCTGAGCTAAAATAGAAAACAAATTCGGAAAAATTTTCGAAAAATTAAATTCGTGAGATTATTGTTCGGGAATACCGCCAAATTCTTTAGCAAAAAGTAGCGAACAAAAAATGTATGGCGCACTTTTTGATTGGTCCAGCGGATGCTGTGCTACACTCAAATAAATTTATGAAAAATTTTCGAAAAATTAAATTTTCAAAATAATCGTTCGGGAACTCCGCCACTAAAATAGGGAAAAAGTTTCGAACAAAAAATGTATGGCGCACTTTTTGATTGGTCCAGTGGATGCTGAGCTACACTCACTAAAACTGGGAAAAAATTTTCGGAAAAAAAAATTTGCCAGATAATGACTCGGGAATAATGCCAAAAAATTGAGCAAAAAGTCTCGAACAAAAAATGTATGGCGCACTTTTTGATTGGTCCAGCGGATGCTGAGCTACACTCACTAAAACTGGGAAAAAATTTTCGAAAAAAAAACTTGCCAGATAATGACTCGGGAATAATGCCAAATAATTGAGCAAAAAGTCTTGAACAAAAAATGTTTGGCGCACTTTTTGATTGGTCCAGCGGATGCTGAGCTACACTCACTAAAACTGGGAAAAAATTTTCGAAAAAAAAAATTTGCCAGATAATGACTCGGGAATAATGCCAAATTCTTTAGCAAAAAGTAGCAAACAAAAAATGTATGGCGCACTTTTTGATTGGTCCAGTGGATGCTGAGCTAAACTAGAAAACAAATTCGGAAAAATTTTTGAAAAATTAAATTCGCGAGATAATCGTTCGGGAATACCGCCATAGTGATTAGAAGAAAGTTCTGAACAAAAAATGTATGGCGCACTTTTTGATTGCTCCAGCGGATGCTGAGCTAAACAAGAAAACAAATTCGGAAAAATTTTCGAAAAATTAAATTCGCGAGATAATCGTTCGGGAATACCGCCAAATTCTTTAGCAAAAAGTAGCGAACAAAAAATGTATGGCGCACTTTTTGATTGGTCCAGTGGATGCTGAGCTACACTCACTACAACTGGGAAAAAATTTTCGGAAAAAAAAATTTGCCAGATAATGACTCGGGAATAATGCCAAAAAATTGAGCAAAAAGTCTCGAACAAAAAATGTATGGCGCACTTTTTGATTGGTCCAGCGGAAGCTGAGCTACACACACTAAAACTGGGAAAAAATTTTCGAAAAAAAAACTTGCCAGATAATGACTCGGGAATAATGCCAAATAATTGAGCAAAAAGTCTTAAACAAAAAATGTATGGCGCACTTTTTGATTGGTCCAGTGGATGCTGAGCTAAACTAGAAAACAAATTCGGAAAAATTTCGAAAAATTAAATTCGCGAGATAAGCGTTCGGGAATACCGCCAAATTCTTTAGCAAAAAGTAGCGAACAAAAAATGTATGGCGCACTTTTTGATTGGTCCAGTGGATGCTGAGCTAAACTAGAAAACAAATTCGGAAAAATTTCGAAAAATTAAATTCGCGAGATAATCGTTCGGGAATACCACCAATAAAATAGGGAAAAAGTTTTGAACAAAAAATGTATGGCGCACTTTTTGATTGGTCCAGGGGATGCTGAGCTAAACTAGAAAACAAATTGGGAAAAATTTTCGAAAAACTTAATTCGCGAGATAATCGTTCCGGAATACCACCAATAAAATAGGGAAAAAGTTTCGAACAAAAAATGTATGGTGCACTTTTTGATTGGTCCAGCGGATGCTGAGCTACACTCAAAAATAATTTGGAAAAATTTTCAAAAAATTAAATTCGCTAGATAATTGTTCGGGAATACCACCAACAAAATAGGGAAAAAGTTTCGAACAAAAAATGTAAGGCGCACTTTTTGATTGGTCCAGCTGATGCTGAGCTACACTCAAAAATATTTTGGAAAAATTTTCAAAAAATTAAATTCGCTAGATAATCTTTCGGGAATAACGCCATAGTGATTAGAAGAAAGTTCTGAACAAAAAATGTATGGCGCACTTTTTGATTGGTCCAGCGGATGCTGCGCTAGATCAAAATAAATTTTGTGATTTTTTGAAAGGTTGAGAAAATTGCTGGGGAATAGTTTTAAAGTCTTAACCCGGGATTTGTCTTAAAAAAAATTCACATCATTATGTTGAAGTGTATGTAATATATATATATATATATATATATATATATATATATATATTTATATATGTAGTATTTCGTGTATAGTAATTAATAGTTCGTGTAGGGGACATGGTTTTGAAAAAGCAAAGCGTACAAGTGAGAGGTGTGTGCTTTGACCGCAACTCTATGAATTTTTTGTCTAATAAAAGGAGAAATGAAAACTGGATCGAACACGACCCGATTACACGCCAACCTTCCCACATAGTGTGATCTGTACCTATATACGTGACACGTACATATAACGCAGTGCTGATTTCCTTCATGAAAATTCAGACTTTGATTCACGTCAAAACTATCATTGCAACAAAAAACTAAAAACGATCATCTGGTATTAAATTTATTTCTTTTTTTTTGTTTAATCACTCATTACAATTTTTATTAGTTTTGCTGAAAACTAAAAAAAAATCACGTTTATATGAATCCCCTGACATTTATTATTATTATTATTTATATTAATCAGGTGAGAAACACATTCTTTTCTAAAAACTAGTGTAGAAACTATATTTTTTTTTAAAAAAAGCAGAGCAGAGCAGGATTTAAAATTCATATTAGAAGACTCGTTCTCAAATATCCCACTGTCTGTATTAAAGCCATTAACGACGTTAACGTCTATACTGTCTTCACATAATAGAAGAAAAAAGTGACTAAAAAGAAAACTATCGTTGATTGAAATTTTCAACCATAGTAAATTCATAATACATTTAATTATAAATAATTAATTATTAATTAGTTTAATTAAAAAATTTTAAGTTTAAATTTTTTTTTATTTATTTTTTTTACGAGGAAAGTGGTAAAACTGAATTATAATAAAAAAAATAATAATATACGTAATAATAATAAATATCATAAACTACATAAAATATAATTTTTTTCTCCAATAATTTAGTACTTTTTATAAGAAAGGACATTTTTATTTTTGTAAGCCCGTTTACTTATTATATGAAAGTAAAGAAATAATAATAAAATATAAATAATAATAATAATAATACTTTCTCCTTGTTTTTTTTGTCATATTAAATTTTTGTACAAATTTGTTTTTTGTGAAAGAAAATAATCGTACCCTACTTTAGGAACTTTTTTTCTTTTCACCAAAACTTTAACAATTCGAAGCAAATGGGGTCCTGCTGTAAATTGGAGTGTAAATAAATCATTTATGCTCCAGTTTCGAGACACAGAATATAACTTTTTTTGAGAAAAGGCAAAAAAAGGAGAAAAAAAACCACCGAAGGAATTTCAATTTCCAAGAGTATTATAATATATCCTGTTGCGCCGTTAAAAGCTTCTTATACTATATATATATATATAACGTGTAAACTAAATCTCAACGAAAACTAAACATCCGTCACGGAAGTGTGTTTGCGCTTGTATGCCGCTATTAAAATTTGTCTAAGAAAAAAAAAGTTCTCGTTAAACAAATGTGGTCGACTAAAGAAAATATTGGCAAATTATTATCATTTATCTGAAAATTTAAATTCAATAATATATTTATACATTTCTCATGAAAAACATTGATTAGAATTTTTAATTTAAAAAAAAAAAATTATTCCAATAAAATTTTTTTAAAACGTAAATTGATTTTTATAGGATAATCATGTGACTATAATTTTAATAAAAATTAAAAAAATGCTTGTAAATTAAGAGTGCTATTCTTATATAATGAAAGTGATACGATAATTTACTCTACGTTTTGATAATCCTCATGTATAACATATCGTATCGGATTTAACTCGCTTAATTCATGATTAATGTATAAATTGAATGGCTGACCGAAATTGGCCGAATCCACTGGCGCTATTTGTCTCATGTGTCTGGTAGTATAAATAAGATATTGAGGGCAAATCGATATATATGTTGGAATATATATATATATATATATATATATATACTAGAAAAGCATTGAATTGTAAAATCAAGACCCATATTTTCTGACAGGTCTCTGGTAGCCTGTCATATGGGAGCGAAATCTTTTATAATAATTTTTACCTTCTGAAAATCGAAAACAAAGAGAAATAACACAGCGTTAAAGCCGATAATTCAAGAAGATAATTAAAAAAATTCACTTTCAGAATGAATTATTAAAATATGTAAAACAATAACTAATTTTTAATTTCATTTAGTGTACTAATTTGATCATATTGTTTTACACTTAGATGAAATTTTTATTTGAACCAATTATACCATTTTTTTGGTAATAATAAAATAATAATAAAAACATAATGTTTTGGTTACTTCAAACTTGAAAATTTTTTCAGATTCACTCAAAATTTTATTGAGCCTAATAAACTTTTCGTTGATTTAATCAAAAGTTTCTTCTAATTAAAAGTTAACTGTATTGAAGAAAAAAAGTAAAAAACTCTCTTAAATTTTCAACTAAAAAAACTGTGATAAAAGTAAATAAGAATTATATATAAATTTAAATCTGTTTCTTATCGGAAAAATATAATTAAAAATTGCGCTTGAAAAATAGAAGAGTAAATTTAGTTTTTTTCTCTTCTTTTTTTATTACCTCAGAGTTGCTGGCCCAGTTCCTAGATCGAAAGTAAATTGCACATGACCTCCTGATAGGTAAAGTGCAATAAAATCGCCAGTGGCATCACTGTGATGACCATTATAGAGAATCACACCATTTCGTGCTGTTGGTTTTAGAGTGACAGCCAATTCCAACCAGGAAAGTGAAGTTTCCGCTAATCCCGGATACCGTAAGTACGAGGATCCATTGAAGGAAGGTACCTGCGGAGAATTGTATTAGTTTTCGTTTTTATTATTACTATTTTTATTATTTTCTTACTATTATGTTATTACTATTATTATAAACATTTTTTTATTATTTTATTATTATTATGTTATTATTACTATTTATTGAAATTTCTACATCAGATTATTAATAAAAAAAAAACATTGTAGTAAGCCAGATAGGAATTACATAAAAAAAAAATTTAGTAGAAAAAACCAGTTTGGTCAGACAAAAGAAATAATTTTTTACTTAGATAATATTTCCAGTAGAAAAAACCAAGTATGGTCAGACAAAACTAAATACTTGAAAGAAAAATATAGTTTCATAAGCTGCATTACATGTTTTTAATGAAAAATAAATACAGATATACAGGGTAATTTTTATCTTCCGGATCCCTAAAAAAATTTTTTTAATTCCTCTTTTTTTGGCTTAAAAAACGAAAAAAATGAGATTTAAAAAAAATTTTTAGAGGTGCCGAACAAAAAATCACCCTGTATGTAGAAAAGAAAGTTATTTTGTTAAGAAAATATTTTGCGAAATCTCAAGTATAACGTAAAAATCGTTTCCCTGTTGAATTTAAAGAACTTTTCATTCACTTTTCGAAAAGATGGTGCACATTTGACAGACATAAAAGAGATAGCAACAGATTCAATTTTCCAGGTGCAAAGATGAATATATATATATATATATATATATATAGAATATTACAATACGTGTGTCACAGACTACACGTCGCAATATGTACGTCATTCTATTCTGAAGCTTCAACACTTTATGTTTTCACCGACTGCAAAAAAGAAAATACTATAAAAAGAAAAAAAGAAATTGCTGCTAATATACTTCCCAGGGAAATGAACAGGAAAAAAAAATAATCACGAGGTGCAAAAAAATGCAAATGGAACCTACATTTAGACAACATATATGAGTCTCACCGAAAAAATTACGCATATTAAGAAGCAAATGAAATCATAAAAAATAAAAAATTGCCTCTTTGAAAGTAAAAAGAAAAAAAATTAATTTCATTTATAATGAATGAAAGAAATTCGTTTGAAAAATTAACATTCCAAAGATCACGTAATAGTCGCATGTGTTAATTATGAAAATTCAGTGCAATTTTATTTGCAATTAAAATACGAAATTGGAAATTTGAATTGCATAAAATATTTTGTCATGTATGGGTTCATTAGAGAAAATGAAAATTGCTAAATAAAATATCACGTTACCTTGGAAACTTTATATATATATATATATATATATATATATATATATATTGAGCAACATATTAAAATCAATATATTGAAATTAACATTTTTAAAAAAACAGGGGAAAAATTTGATATATTGAAAATTAACAGTTTAATATTTCAAAATGTTTTATGTAAATTAACTTCCTTTTTACACGATACAATTATTTACACTCAGAGAAAAATTTATTTGATCGAAATTTTGGTTGAATTGATCAAATTTTGGTTGAATCAACCAACTAAATACATTGCTATCAATCTTTTGTTTAAATCAACCAAAAGTTTATTTGGTCTAATAAAAATAAAATTCTTTGTAATTAATTATTTAGTTAAGTCAAATTAACTTTTTCTCTGAGGGATATAAAATAAAAGAAAAAGCTTTTAAAAATCAATGTAATCCAAATAATAATATTCATTGGCACTCGATAACGATTTAGTCTGACTCAGTTTGTATAGTTTTATTCTACTTCCAACTATTGTCGCAATCGATATTGTACTGCGTCCAACGCATACATTATACTTCATATATACATATGTACGTATGTATATTACTAGATGTATGTATATATATATATATATATATATATATATATATATGCACATATTCCAGTGACAGACGCCGTATAATTTTCTCGTTGCCGTACGCGGGGTAATTACTATATCACGACGGGCAAAATATTAGCAACGAGAAGTAGTGTAGTTTCGACAACAATTTATCACGGCACATTGTAATTAGGTATTAAGCTCCCCGCAGCTTTAAAAGTCATAATGTTATGAATAGTAATTTTATTATACGGCACATTGAACTTTACAAAAAAAAAAAAAAAAAATTATTATACACTCACGTTATAGTAAATTGATTTTCCTGAAGAATATGGGGAAAAAATGCATTTCATAAAAAAAACAATTCCATTTAATGGCATAAAAAAAAGATCTTATCATATTTTCTGGTAAATTATTTTTTATACCATATCCTTTGAAATTATAATTATAACTCATTAAAAATTTACCATTATATATTTACAACTACCATTAACTCAAGGAAAATTTAAAATAAATGACTAATTTTAAAAAAATAAAAATTTATTATGAAAAAAACTAAAGAATAAAATTGCTAAAACTATAAAAAAAGAGTAACAGAATGAAAAAATGTATTTCATCAGAAATAATTTTGCAAGTATTTCCATTATATAATTTGCAAAATAATCCATGAGAAATGTTATAATATAATATATATATATAAAAATAAAATCTATTATTTCTTGAACTCTATTTGAATAAAAAAATTTCTTTCCCTTATCCAACGTTACTGAATAGAGACAAAAACCCTTGAGATTTTCTTTTTCTTTTATATTTTCTATTTTTTTTTATAAATGCTGCGAGTAATTTTCCGGGGGATAACAATAGAGTTTTAGAAGTGACGGAAAGAAAAAAAAATATTCGAATATTTTTATACGTACTCGAGATTAATATATATATATATCTATTTTTTTTTCTCGTGTCGTTACCAGGTGAGTAAAAATCTTCGTTACAAGTTATAAAACTTGATTATAAAAATAAATCGTGTAATTAAAAAGTGCAATTTAAGTTAAATTGCTTTCACGTGTTAAAAAAAACTGTTGGTTGACAATAAAATTTCGATTAAAAAAAGAAAAGAGATTTTTTTTCCATTTTTCAATATATGAAAACAAAATACTATGGGAAATATTATTTTTAATTGTTATTTAAACGAGAATTTATTTCTCGATGTACATTAAAATATGTGCCCGCTTTTATAAAAGAAAAAATTTGTTTTTTAAAAATTGATTTTATATCCTTTTTTTGTAAATTTATTATTTAAATAAATAAATAAGTAATAAATAAAATAATAAGTAAATAAATTAAAAAAAAAAATTTCTCATGGGGAGAGTATTTTTTATAAAAATATATTATTTGGACTTTAAATTATGTAAACAATTGTTTATTAATATGTTCACTTACTTGTAAATCGACTCTCGTTTCGCAAAGATCGCCAGTATATCCAAGAGGACAAAGACAGACAGCTGTATCACTACCAGTTGTCAGACATTTTCCACCATGTGAACAAGGAACTTTGCTACATCTGTCCGCCGTACATTCCTCTAAAAAAGAGAATAAATTTCATAAATTCATTAAAAACTACAGAAAAAACCTATTAATTTTTAATTAATAATTATTCATTGTATAAAACAATAAATTATTTAATAAATAATAATTAAAATTTATATTTATTATATTAATGGTTAATTAATAAAATTGTCATTATATAATAGTTAATAAATAAATTAATTAATTATTAATAATTTTTTTATCGAAAGTAATAATTAATTTCGTACTGAATAATATTAACTGCCTTTAAATTAAAACGAAAAAAAAAACATTTCGTTTAGCACTTAACTGTAATTGAATATATGTGACTGCGATCTGAGAGGTTGAAATTATTTTTTTTTTCATTTCCTCCCTCTCAAAAAAAGGAGGAAAATTGTATTTTAATCCTCCCGCGAATTACGAAATGATATATTGAAACGAGGTTGGAATGCACATTGAAATATCGCATTATTTTTTAGCGAGGGAACAAAAAAATGGTAAAAAGCGCAAACGTATATTTGAGGAAAAGAAAAACAATTTAACGGACCAGTCATTTCTTCCGGATGCGAAAGAGGTCGTTATGTGCCAGTTGAGTGGGCTCTGTGGGGTTGAAAATAAAGTCCAAATTTCATTGGCACATACACACACACATACATATATATATACAACTTGCGGCTATATACGAAAAGCTCTCTTTCGCTTTTGCCGAGTGAAAAAAAAATTGAAAAGAAAGCGTGTTGGAAAGAGTGGCCCACGAGTTTATGGCGATTAAAATAGTTTTGCTGTAAATTCAACGAAAGTGCGAAGTAATTGTATAAAAAAAAATGTAATAAAAGTGCCTCAGAGACTTTTTAAATTTTCAACAACCCTGTCGTTTTCATTACTAATTTTTTAAACCGTTTAAATTTTCCAACCATAACTGTAACTTTATTCAGAATATATCTCTTATTTAATTATATTTTATATTGTAATTTTATATTTTTTAAATGTCCATTTTTTTAAATAATAAAAATAATTCACTTTATGTAATTCTAAAATTAACAATATTAATAATACAATCTATATAAATAATAAATATGAAATTAAAAATAACATTAAACTGACTTTTCTTCTCCTCTGTGTGTATTAAAATTCTTTTTTTGGAATGTATCGCGTTATAAAGAGAACGTGAAGGACATTTTTTTTTTTTTTTTGTTATCAAAAGTGTGGCTTCCTATTGTCCAACCAACCGAAAACGAATCTTTACAAACTGCATCTCAAAGGGGTCACACTACCGGAAAGGTCTTCATCTCGATATGTCCTCGATGTTTTCGAATCGTTTTGTCACTGATTTGCCATATAAGGGTTCTTTCATATTTGTCCCTTTTTTCAAAAATCTTGATAATATTTTAGAGCAAAATTTTTAGGTTTTTTAAAGAATCACACTTTTAATGAAAAAAAAAATAAATTAATAATAAAATAAAATACCTAAAGTATTATTTTTCATGAAATAATTATGCGTCTCGATTGATTATCAATAAAATGAAAATAAAATAACGAAACTAATAATTAAATTAATTATAATTATTAATTTCAGTTAAATTGAAATTCGATTTATTTTCTATATATTGTAGATTTTCAATTAAATATATATCAAAAGCAGCAATAATAATAATAATTGATTATATTCTATAAATTTAGAGAAGAAAAACAATATTGAAAATATTGTAAAGAATTGGTTTTTTTTTAATAGATATTTTTACGATAAATTCTCATGGATAAATTTAGATTCATAAGGATTCTATACAATAATATCGTTTACCATTATTTTAAAATTTATGTGTATATAGAAAAGGATGGGGCTTATTGTGAAGTGGTCTAGAAAGTGGAATTGTGGTTTAAGCTGGCAACACACAATTCACATTGAAAATGATAATAGCGGCAATGGAATTATCTTGTTTTCAAATATGATAGCGCACTTATGGTGCAATTTTCACATATATATATATATATAAATGAAAATCATGAATTTGTCAGTATAACTCAGTTATTAACAGTGAATGTAAATGTCCTTAATATGAGAATTTTTCTATTATAAAAACAAGCCTAAAGAACCAAAAAACAATTCCCAATCATATACTACTTATAATTATTTATTTATTAGGTATTTCATTTATCATTTATAAAAACGTATAATTATTTTTGTTCATTTTCAATTTTTTTATTTATTTATTTTTTTTAAAGTTTCTTAGTTTTAAAAATTTTTCTTAGTTATTTTTTTTTATTTTTCTTAGTTATTTCCCATGGAGACAGGAAATTTTAGCGACGTAAACTCTTAGAAGATTTTCCGGACTTGAAAGTTTTAAACTTTTGATTTATATTTCTCGTTTCGATCGCAAAGTCATTAAAGCTGGCAACCTTTTAACTTCAATTAATTTAAATTGGCTTCAAAAATAAACTTATAATTGCCAACCCAGTTATATACAGTGAAGTCTTCTCTATTTTGTTTTAATAAAATTAAATACTAATTTCTTTACCGGGTTCCTGTGCACAAAAAAATTTAAATTCCCACATTTACTGCACAAAACTTAAATAATTTTTTCATTAGGAAAAAGAAATCTATTATTAATTAAATATAAATGAAAAATTCTCATCAAAAGAAAAATAAATAAAAAATGTTAAATGATGGAAATAATGAGTGAGAGAGATTGAGAGATAGAGATAGAGAATAGAGTGAATTGGAAATGTTGAATGATTTATTCTATGTGAAATGATCGATATACTAACCGACGTCAAAGCCATTTGCAGCATCTCCCCGAGGGGCGAGTGGGAAACGATAACGATGTTCGTTGGCCTCCAGGTGTCGGATGCAACCTCTGAAGCCATTTCTGACCGGAAGTCTCTCCAGACCAGTTGTGTTTCCTGGACCACCGACGAAAAGCGGTTCTCTGAATGTTATTCTCGAAAATAGTCCCTGTAATCAGAACAAATACAACATCAATTTACACATTTTCACTACATTTTTATTGCAAATTTCAAAAAAAGATCAAAAAATTATTTACAACAATCTTCTTTTTCCTTTTTTTTCTAAAATATTCCTAAATATATTTATTTTCTTTCAAACGAGGGGTAAACAAATTTTTAAAGTAAGTTGTACACTTGTGTTGAAATATTCTGAATTATCTGAAGTATCGCAAATATTTTATTTAAAAACAAAAAAATTAATTATTTTCAACTCAAAATTTTACATAAAACTGTTTCTAAATGATACTTTAAAATAGGATTTGTCAAAAATTTATAAACAAGTTGAGAAAAAAATAATGTAGATTTGCAAGTTTTTGAAATTGTGTCAATTGAGTTTCAATTAAAACAACACTCGAATTGGATTAAAAGGGGGGAGGGTGAAAAACTGAAAGTTTACGTACATACAAACATTCTAAATCCCCTGAGAGTTAAAACTAAAACAACTTTTGAGTAATACTAAAGTCATAGACAGCGGATATGTTGACGTTGAAATAGTTAAATAACTATATAGGAGTTTGAAGGCTTGTGGTCAAACTAGACGAAACTGTAATCGCATTGAATCAGTGATCGCATTTTCCCTTTTAAAACGACCTTCATCCAACCTTTAGTGCCATCATCTCCAGCATTGAACGAATGAAACTGACATAAGTCGATTCAATTTCTATAATATGGAAAATTTTTATTACATCAGAAACAAAATCAATTTTCATCAATATTTTATAAGCTCATCTCTATATTTTATAACATTAATTAATTATTCAATTATCTTTCATTATGTCTATCTATTTAATTGAAAAGTCAATTTTAAAAATTATAAAATGATTTTTTTAAAAAAATTTAATTTACTAAAAAACATTTAAGTCTTCGGGAAAAAAAATAAATTTCAAGTTTGAAAATGTTTCTCCCAAGAGAACTTTAAAATTCCAAAAGGTATTAGAAAATTCTCAAAAAAGTTTCTAAAAAGTTTTGTTAAAAGGAGTAGAGAAGAATTTTTTACAACTTCTTTCGAATGTCTCTTGAAGGTGCTCTAAAAATTTTTCCTGATTTGTAAATAAATCTCAAAATGCTTACAAACTTTTTCGAGAATTGCTATTATTTATCAGTTGCGACAAAATTTTAGAAATGAAATTTTTCTTCTTGAATTTAAAATAAAAATTTTTTATTTAAATTAAATTAATTTTTACAATATTTTTACCCTCAGTCGGTAAGGTAGATTTCTGTGTCGGTATGTTTTATATTTTCATTTTTCCTCGAAAAACAACAATAAGTGATTTAAATTGAAATATTAATACAAATAACAGAATTAAAATGCGACACCCAATTGATAATTATAATGACAATTTTTTTTCTTTTTTTATTTAAACAATTGAACATCCATCTCTAAATTCAATTTATCAGTATGAGGATTGGTTGCAGTAAATTAAAATGCCAATATATCAATACAAGTTGCATCGATCTACGAAAAAATTCCTGATTCCTGTTAGACTCGACTGTCAATCTGATTTTGCATGGATAATCACAAGTTCTGACATTTCTGAAAGCTATAAATTTATTTTCTTGCTGAAGATGCCAAGTACGTTTCCGACCAGGAGGAACATACATTTACTTATGAAAAATATATGTATATACGTGTTCAAGTATATTTTCAAGAGATATATGTGTGTGTGCAGAAAATAGGGATGATATCGTCGCTATTGATCGCAGTAGTCTCGAATCACTTTTCCCTCTCTCTATCTTTCTCTCTCTGCTACGAAGTTCCAGACACAGACTCAATAAGACACATACACATATATAGTTTGTTTTTTCACAAGCGCACTAGTGTAAGCGAACCCAGACACGCGCCATGGATTTATTTCGCGACTCTTTGGATTATCGAAAGAAGAAACCCAGGTAAAGCCATGAAAGGGACTCGAATTCGCCGCACTAACGGAAACGACATCTTGTAAATTTGCGTTGGAACGCGCACCAAGTGAAGGAATCCGTTTACAGTAGGACCTCGGAAATTGGACCTCCCCTTTATCGATATAACAGTTACCCTTATGTAATTTAATACACATATATTGGGAACTACAATTTTAAGGCATCCTTTGCGACAAAGTTCGAGGTAGACTCAATTTAGGGTCAAAGTAAGTTAAATGTAGGATCAAAGTCGGTCTATTCCTACTTTATATTCCTACTTTACTTAGGTCCAATTTAAAATCAAAATAGGTTCAATGTATATTAATTGTAAGCTCAAAAAAGGTTCAATGTAGGTCAAATATAGTCTCAAAGTAAATTTAATGTAGGTCAATTGTAGGCTCAAAGTAGGTCTAATGTAGGTCTAAAGTAGGTCTAAAGTAGGTACAAAAGTGGGTCAAAAGTAGGTCTATTTCTACTTTGCAATAAAGTAGGTCTGATTTAAAATCAAAGTAGGTTATAGGTTCAATGTATGGCAAAACAGGTCGAAATGACAGCTTCTTTGACTGATTTTTAGGGAAAATTTAACTTCCAACTTTCTTTTTGGTACAAAAAATATATTTTTGTACCGCTTTAGGAAAGGCAAACAGTTGATGCTGACGGCAATTTACATCCTAAGTGGATTAGGCAAGATGTACTATATATATTTACTGTTGAGTTACTATTTACGAGGTGGATTCCCGGAGCACACATTCGTGTTTCGATCTCTTCGCACGAGGAAACATTTCTATATGTATATGTATATGTATCCATATATACATTCATGGAAACATTTAATATATGTACCTTGGGGTACAGACTCGTCACCACGAGACGACTGCAACGAAGAGAACAGCAGTTTCAAAGTAAATGTACTTTGGAAAAGTCTGCCAACTTGCCAAAAGCAAGTTCGCAAACGATGAAACGACTTTACCATATATATATAATATTTGTATTTTCACAGATCTAAACATCATGCGAAATCTTCAACTATAAACTTTATAACATTTTGCTTTTAATTCAAAATAACTGCTGGGTGATTCTAATTCCCCGAGGGAGGCAAAACTGTGTCACTTACAATTATCTCGATAGATACATGTATATCCTCGACAAACTCTTTTTGTTATTTTCAACTAGAGTGATTAAAATTTTTAAAAAAACTAGAATTAAATCTATTTATGAAAAAAAATCGCAGACAGTTAATAAAAGATAGTAAATATTTTAAATTATATACACTAGAGTTATAAAAAGACTGCTCACTCTTATCATTAATGAATCAGCATTGTTAGCAAAAAAAAACTCGAATGTAAGCATCCATTATGTATTTACCGGCTGATCAACTTGGATTTTTAGTGAAAAAAAAGAGAGAAAGTGCTACGACAGCAGAAAGAAAAAAAAGAGTTAACGACGACTTTCCTGAGTGTAGGTTTGGCGTTTGCTAATTATAAGGTTGTTGTCAGAACATCCAAAAGGATTAACTTTGAAATTCCCTCCTTAAAAGTTGATTAATGTCACAAGTCATTCTCATGTATATACGAAAGTATAGAGGTATTTAATTTTCTATCCAATTTCCTTCAGCTTCTTCAATTTTAAACTTAAATCAATTTTAGCTTTTTAAATTGAATAAATTCGCAAAGCAAATGTTTCGAAAATATTGTTTTTTTTTAACTTCTTTTTTCAAATATCAATATTGAAACTTATATGCGAAAAAGAAAATAATGGAATAATGCAAAAAAAATCTATATACTGAAATAAAAGTTTGAAACTGAATCTTTAAAATTCAAACCATCTAAATGTGGTCGCATCTACAGATTTAAAATATTGGAATCTTAAAGTTTTTGTTGAAGAGAAAGTTTCACATCTTCAAGTTTCAAAGACATCATTTGAAAATGATATTGTAAAATATTCTCCCCCGCGTGAAAGTGATTTTAAGTTTGAATTATAAAAATAATTTTGATGCTACTTGTTTTAAACAAAGAAATATATATTTTACTTGGAGGTACTTCAGGATATTTCAAGATAATTCTCAGTAATGCAAAATACATCAGGATATTCTACGATACTACTGATATTCAAATATTCCTTAAAAATTTCTAGAATAAGTTGTGCTATCTCGACGAAAAATAATTATTTTCGGAGATTAATTAACCTTCTCTCTCACTCTCCTTCTCAAAAAATAAAAAGTGAAAAATAATAGGGAATTTTAAGTAGCTTGTAACTATTCGGGAATCCAAGCTTGGTTGAATTTATTTAGACAGAATTTCTATGGACATGGAATAATGGGTAATCGCAGCCTCTGCATAGTTGCACTTGAGAAGAAGGTGGTCGCGTTGAGTGCCGTACAAACTTATTACGAAGCAATTTGCAAGTCTTATGAGAGAAGGCAAGAAAGAGAACCTCGAAGTTGAGATTTAGAAGGGTACCAGAGTTAAAGCTCGTGATGTTAGTGAAGGAGGCTTTGAAAGGCATTTAATTCGGCTCGTTATACTCGCTTGCTTTTTGTTAAAAAAAAGAGAAGGAAAAAAATTAAAATAAAAACAAATAATGACGTTGTTGAAAAATAGTCTCCTTTTTTGCATTGAAAAATTTTCAACTTTTTTTCTCCCCCCATTTTTAAAGTATAAATTACGAAAAAGATTTTTGTATTTCCATAATAGTAGGAAGAGAAGGAATGTTTAAAGAGCTGATTAAAACATTTTAAATCTAAAGCAATTGAGCGAATGGAATCTCTTGAAACATTCAGTTCCAAAGGAAATTCGAAATTAAAAGATTTGAATATGTTTTTCATATACTCTCGGCTAAAACGAATTGAATGTTTTTTTTTTTAATTTCAAAATTAAATTAAACCGTAAAAAAATTTCAAGCAATGAAAATGCAGTATTCAGTTGAAAATTAATAAATTTCTACACTCAGAGAAATCTTTTATTTGAATCTTAGAAAAATATATTTTTTCACTGGGTGTATAATTAGTAATTTTTAAAAAGTAATTACATTTAATTAATCATTGTAATGTGTCATTGTACTATTCTTTTGGAATTAAATTAGAAATTAATATGGGAGAATAATGCTTTAGGTAGATTTTAATTCAAATTACCTTTGATCTGCCCTGAACTCTCTTCTCACGGTTGAGTTGAATCCAAGCATCCCATCGATGCCTATAAATGCTCAGGGTGTTCCATTCATTGAGTTTAACAGGCTCCGAGCTTCTAACAATTCCAACTCCACTACCACAGTCAAACCTGCAAAATATATAGCAGCTATTATTAAAAATGAAACAAAAAAAATAATAGTTCCTATAAAATTATAATTATTTCGAAAAATTCAATAAAAACTAATTTTGATTTTACCTAATTAAATAAAACATTTCTCTGCGGGTGTAAAACTATCACTAAACATAAGTTTAAATTTTTGCTGTTGTAAGGTCCTTTTTTTCGTGAAGCGTTACATATTTTATTAATTTTTTTTCTACAATCTTATATGCTGTCTTATATTATAAAGAAGAGAATTAGAGAACTATCATTTAAGTAATTTTTATCAAGAGAAATTCGATTAAAATTTCATCAACTGAGAGTAAGGAATCAGAAGATACTGCGCGAGACTTGATTATACGGAATCTTTAAGAGCATTAACCGATTCAATATTGCCACAGTAAGCTATTCTGTCTTAGAGTAACACTTGAGCAGATCAACACCTGAAATTAATTATCGATTATCGATAATCCCGTAGATTGAGGCCATCAAAAAAACATATTCTGGCATTAAACATTCATAGACAATAATAATATAAGTTTTAAAAAAGTTTTTTTTTTCTTCAAATTTTCTACTATATATGTGACGCTGCATTTTTAAATCGTACTTAGATGCTCTTTCATGAAAAAAATACTCTAGGATAGTTTATTCTTTATACAAAAAAAGATAGGAAACTATAAAATACAATATTTTTTATTAAAATAAAAAAAGAATTATACTTTATGTCTGAGTAAATGATTGTGGCTTTTTTATATTGTATTTTGGTAGAAAAAAAATATAAAATTGTGCGGTGGTGATACCTGAACTCGATGAAGCCATGATGAAGTATCAGGGCCATAAAGTCACCCTGGAGATCATCTCGTTCACCGGCTAGTAGCAGAACACCGTCCCAAGCTTCTGGTCGAAACTCGAGCTCCAGTTGAACATGCTTGTAGGCTGCTCTTAAAGCAGGAAAGGCGAGCCAACCCGAACCCGTGAAGCGTGGTGACCTCACTTCCGTTTCTGCAAAAAAAAAAAAACGAAAAAATTGATAAAAACAAAATAACAAAAAAAAAATTCTTGAAAAACACCCGAGAATGTAACACGATTCCTGAATAAAACGAAAAAAGCAAGGTATATACAAAGAAATCGAACAAAGAATAAAAGTTTCACACAAAGCCGTAAAGTTGTAACTCTTTGAAATTCACCAGCAAAAGCTTTGAGTAAAAAATAATACTGAGTCGATTGAGTTAATAAAAAAAATCCAAATAAAAAATATTTATTTCTAAAAATATAATATTAAATTGAATCTCGATAAAATTAATTCGATGACATATTGAAAAATCGACAATCTTTTTTTTGGGGGGACGGGGGAAATAAAAAAAAAGGAAAGACATCTGTTCTACTTTCAATGATGAATCCTTTTCCTCTTACAATTTTTAGTGATTTCTTTCCTTTCCAAAAAACGGAAAGAACGACCTGAATCCAATCAGTCTCAGACTGAGTGGAAAAGAAAGGTACTCTAAGACTTCCTTTACTCGAAACATTTTTTTTTTATTTATATATATCAGGAAAATTGAGGTCATTGGAAAATTGGAAAAATGACACCATATTCTTGCTTTACCAAGTTTTTCGTATATATATATTCAGATTCTGTTTTCGATCCAAGGGTCTTTGAATACAAAATGTAGTACTTGTTTAAAAAAGAGCATTCACTATTTTTCAAAAAAATAGTTTTTCGGTTTTTTTTAAATATCAAGTGGGCAAAAAATATTTAATTACTAGAACCAGATATTTTTTCATTTGCTATTTTTATTACTGAAAATTAAGATAACTAAATATTTAATTAATTATATGGTAAAAATTATGAATTAAAAAACAAATCATCTCTGACCCAAATCATGTTAAAGTCTCATACAATAAACCTAATTTTCTAACAAAAGTTCAACTAAAGTTCATAAACTACCAGGGCCTTGATTGTTTGTAAATTATCACAAAGGCTGTGTGGCATTCTCAGTTTAAGCCCCACTGCATCCAGGTCGAATTTGTTGGCAGTAGATCCTCAAAGACAAGAAGTCTTGAGTAAAAGGGTGGGGGGGAGGGAGTGCCCAGGATGCTTGAAATAAATACCTCATCATGAAATATTCATCTCACGTTTCCCTTAAAATACCTCTTTTTTCCTAAACCACAAGCAGTTCACCCTTCTTCAATATATATCTATATTGTTTTATTACCATATTTTTATTTCAGATTAAATAACCCTCAATTTTATGGTTGTTGCCCGAAAAAAAATCAATTGTTTTTTTAAATCAATGATAGCATGAAAACAATCGACAGAAAAATTTCGGCGCGATTTTTAAAATTGCAAACAATCAAAAATTGTGATAGGTTGATTTTAAAAATGGCGCCGTAATCTTTCTGTCGATTGTTCGGGCATTTGCAATTTCGGACAAATGAAAATTCTATTAATTAGATATTCTGTTAAATGATTTTTTGGAAAAATATATAAATATAAATAAATAAATATAAAATAATAATTCGAATAAATAAAAATTTGTCTCAAAAAAATTATTTCAATGATAAGGTAGAAATAAACACATACAATAATATTCAACTCACCAAAATTTTACCACACAAAAAAAAATAAATCAAAAAAAAAAAAAATAATTTCGTCCCTCTAGCTTGAACAACATGAAAAGTATCTTTTGGGGAAGATATATGAATCTCTGTTTTCGATACAGTCGAAGCGTGAAACAAGAAAATATGGTTGAGGAAAAATCGAGGATTTCGACTCTATATATATATATATTTACTGTATAGAGGAAAAGGGCTTATGGCGTGTTTTAGGCGTATACGTATATGGAGGTAGGAGAAAGGTCGTATCGATCACCTGAGTTGAACAGAAATACTGGGGGAAGGGGTATGAAAGATGTTCAGGTTGAGGATGAACGATAAATCAACGGATAGAGAAGAAAATAGAACAAGTTCGACCTGCCTTCAGATAGAATTCCTCTTTATATGGTGGGGGGGAAAAAACTCCAAGAGACGCTCAATCGCACGTGGATACACCCAAAAGGGACGTGAGGACTGCAAATCTTTGAAATCAGGACAAAAACGAAATAAAAAAATTTTATAAATATATATTAACCAAATATACCGCCGACTAGGTCATTCCACATGAATAAGAAAAGTCAAGACTTGAATTTAAAGAAAAATAAACCAGTTCATAAAATAAAAAATTATTTCTTTTCAAACTTTACCTATAAAATTAAATTCATTCACCAAAAACCGAATCAAAATTAGATTCTTACTTCCGTTCACTGAATCGAATCAAAATTAGTTTCTACATTTGTTTTTATTTAACGAAATCAAAATCAGATTTGAGTGCAATGAAAGTAAAACAATAAATTTCACTAGTTCCTGGCTACAAACAATTCGAATTCTAATAAATGAGAAAAGATTCTATATTATCGAAAAATTTCTTTTCGAAATTTTTAAGAAAGTAAATGGAAGCCTTTCTCTTCTTGTACAAACACGATTGATGAAATACGAGAGAGTGTAATGATGATCATGAAGCCATACAAAATATTCGAACCCTTCATCCTAGAAACCTATAACTTAATCTTTAAATAACTTTTAGAAAAAGGCAGTTTATGGTATAAATATATAAATACTTGCACACACACAAGTTAAAAAGTATATTTTAAGGGTCGTATAGTTCATTAGACCGCAGGATGTTCCTGTTAGCGTTGCAGGTCGCTGAAAAATGCAACAGCGTATACGAGTAGAGGCAATATACTTTTAGTGGTAAGGGAGGGTCTACCTTCTCGTATCCATTAACAACACCCCTGCCACAACAATGGCGGCCCTTTGGGAATAATGTTTCCTAGTCGTATTTATACACCGTCAAATAAATATATATCCCAAGACTCTTTTTTTCCCCTCATCTCTAAATCTTATTTTTCATTATTTTACTGTACTAATATTACTTACTATACTATACTATACAAATATTTACTATACTACTATTTACTGTACTAATTAAAAAAATTTACTATACCCTAAATTATAAAATAATTATCAATCACTATTATTCTTGATTTGGAAATAAATTTTTTTTCTCTAGGCTATTTCTATATTGCAAACAAAAAATTTTTTTTGGGTATAAATACAGGGAAAATACATATTTTTTAGCGACCCAGTACGACAATTTCTATTTCCATTCTCTGATAATCCTGCGCAGCTTTTCTCTGCAGCAATTGTTACAGATATTTGCACCTGCTGTCGACTGTTTGTGCTTGTAGCTTAATACTACATACAATGGTTAAAATTTTGTGTATACAATGGACAATAAAGGTTCTCTCTCTCTCTCTCTCTCTCGCTCGCTCTCAGATGTTCTCCGGATTTGCAATGTTTTGTTTTAGTTCACTTAAAATCGCCAACAATAGCAATTATGTATTTTCCATATATATATAATAAATAGTGAACTGATATGTTAAATTGCAAACCGCATTTCACATTCAAAGTAACTGGCTCAGAAACGATTTTAGCTTAAAATGTATATTTCCGCTTGAAAGTGCACATCTAAAGAATTCCAATTCTATCAAATATTAATAACGAAAATAATAACAAAAATAATAATAGAAAGAAGTAATAATAATAATTTAATAATATATTAAAAAATAATCCATGAAAATAGATGTCTATTTAAAAAAAAATAGATAAGTCGTCTCGTTAGTTACATTTTCATAAATTATTTAAAGCTGAAATATATTTTGGATTTGTTTCATAAAATTTGAAACAAAATTTATTTCCGACACTTGAATTTCGTATGAATAATTTTGGGAACCTAGTTTCTCAACTGACAACTTTATGGACAGGTGTACGAAAAAAAATGACACACAATATTCAACCTGAACTTTCTGACGATTTTTTTCTTCTTTTATTGTCACACGGAGAGAAATAGATGGTAAGAACTTATGATCTTAAGATGGTAAAAACAAGATGTTATCCGGTACTATCATTATGCTACTCTTTTTGTAACAAAGATGTTACAAAAAGTATGGTTATGTTACCCAATACAATCAAGATGTTACTTTGTATAATCTGGATAGTAATTGATAGAATCTAGACTGCTGTCCGTATATGTAAAATCAAATATGGTACCTGGTATTATCCAGATAGTACCCCGTACCATCTATTTCTCTCTGTGCAATTTCTGAAGATATAAAATTCAAAATTTCAAAAAATTCAATGCTTACTGTTGTGATAACAAAAATTTGTTGCAACAACAAACTGGATTTGTTAGTTCTATCTTAACAATCCGGTTATTTCACTGTAGACTTAACAATTCCTTTTTCTAAACTTTTTAATTTCTACTTTTTTATGCTAGAAAATTCTCTCTAATATATATATATAAAATAATTCCCCTCAATTCAGGATCATCGATAGAAAAAAAGCTTTCAACACAATAAATAAAGTTTCAAGACATAAGTTTAAAGATTTTAAAACCAGAATGAAAAGTTTTCAAAAAGTTTATCTTTCTTTACTCTTTCTCTCTCATTCCCTATATATACAAAAAGCTGCAATTGTTTATCGCTTGAGAGGATGCAAATTTCAAAAGCTTAAATCAAGAAAGCTCAAAATGACAAACAGTAGATTTCTATTTAAAATCCCAAGAAGAAGGTGCGACTTATTTTTAATAATACTTTTTTGTCATGAAAAATATTCGTTCAGTGACAAATATCAATTATTATTTTTGCTACAATAAATTGAACTAACAATGATTTTTTTTTAATTTGTAAGCTCAAAGTAGAAAAATTTGTTTCTATTTTAAAAATCCATTTTTAATGGATACCTACGCATAACAAAAAAATCTCTCTTATTTCTTAAAAAGCACTTTTTCTGAAGTATCCTTTATCTGAAACTCAATGAAAGCAACAAGAGAGAGAGAGAATTGCTATTTTTGCAAGCTCCATATTTGAGCGGTACACTTCTTCGTGGCTAAGCTCATATAAACGAAG